ATCAACACCTGAACCTGGGAGCCACCACCTGAATCAACACCTGAACCTGGGAATCAACACCTGAACCTGGGAACCACCACCTGAATCAACACCTGAACCTGGGAACCACCAACTGAATCAACACCTGAACCTGGGAGCCACCACCTGAATCAACACCTGAACCTGGGAACCACCACCTGAATCAACACCTGAACCTGGGAGCCACCACCTGAATCAACACCTTGTCAAGAAAAATCCGAGATCATCCCACTTCCCCATGCTGGAGATTTTAGTTAACAGTAACAACAAATAAAGTTATCTTTAAAATAAGTCACACCAATCACATCTAGATCCAACAGTGGACCCAGACTGCAATAAAATAAATCTGGTTGTGTGTGTTGTTTTGTCTCCTGCAAACTTAGCTTTCATTATACTTCATTTTTATATCTAATCATAAGAAATTATAGTCAGAGAGAGAGATATGAGACGGGAAGAGCAGGTTTCCTGGAAAAAGAGGAAGTAAGTTTTCAGCTTGCAGCTGTATAAAAATAGCTGAGACCAGTCCTTGTTTAAAAGCATAAAAGTTTCAAAGGATAAAATCTAAACATTTTGAGTAATTAGATAAGATTTAAAGTAAAGTACTTATATTAATATTGGTTTACTTATAACAATACTTACTGACACTTGTGGAAAAACGTACAAGTAAAACAAGTAACTGTAACTTTGATATCAAATAATAAAAGAGTAATAAGTTGTGATTATCATAAACTTATAAATGAATGCTAAATTAAAGAAACTAATAGGTTTATGAATGTGATTTTAACATTGAACTTGAAATGGTGTAAAACATGTATCTGCTATTAAAGATCACTGATGATGTGTTGGAGGTAGATAGTAGGTGAGAGGTTAGGGGTAAAATGGGGACAGCAGAGATGACCAAGACCTTATTAGGAGATAGCTTGTTGAACAACTTACACGTGTCAGAGACATGGGAGGAAGATTGAGCAACCCTGAGACATTAGCCAAGACATCAGGACAAAATGTCTCAAAGACAGTGATGGATATGAGTTTATCTGTCCAAACATGTTACCCAATAAAGAAAGCACAGCAACAGTGTTAGCCAATGAAAATGCACCGAAAGCGGGTATAAACCCTATATAAGGGGAGAGCAAAAGAGGAATCTTTGGTTGGATCCTCCAGGCAGCTTCGAGTCAAGACCGAGATGGACAAAGAACTCTGCAGCTGAAGAAGAGCCGGGGCCACAGGGACGAAGACTGTCCTGCACACGGGGACCAACCCATCAGCCCCGCAACATGTGGCTTCAAATCGGACTTCTCTCATCGGCTGGGTTCAGACCCCAAAGACAAAGATAAAGACAAAGATGAAGATCAAGGCAAAGATGAAGACCAAGGCAAAGATGAAGATCAAGACAAAGACAAAGACCCAAGTCCTGTGTGACCTTATCATCGATGCAGAGATGACAGCTCATCAGACCAACAGAGATCCCTGCCTTCGTCAATCAACCTCCTCCGCCTGCTGTAACACCTTCTTCATCATCGATCCAGTTCTGGGGTTTGAGACACCAAACTGTCCGTCTCTCTAAAGGTTCCCTTTTTAGTTCTTAGTATCAGCGTTAGGGAAAGACAGGCTAGATGATTGATTTTACTTATTTGATTATTTCTGCTACTTAATTAAGCTGTACTGACCCTTGCAAAATTGCTTTACTAATAAAATATTTAGCATAAAGAAAATCTAAAAGATGTTGTGGACATTCAATTAATGAGTCACCTCAAAGTTCTTTGATGGTAGTAAAATAGCTGTGATGTTTGATTCTGGGGGAGAAAAGTAGGTCATGTTTTATAGGTTGCTTTAGCCCAAATTTAAAACAACATCCTTGGGACTCGCCCGAGTCACTCAAACTAACCTGATTCAGTAACAAGTGCAAGTTGCAAAAAAGAGAAGGAGCGACTGTTAACAGATGTGCTCTGTGGAACTAGTTGGCTGTATGCTGCTCAGTCTGGCTAATTCACAGGGGAAGAAGGGTGAGACATCTGGATGTAGGCCGTTAGTAGTCAGGCGAATCCGGTCTCAAAAACCAGCTTAAACAGAGTTTACTTCAGTTCTGGATAGGGTAAATCCCAGCAGATTTAGGAAACGCAATTTACCCGTTAGATGGAGAGCTGGTAGCACATCTCCCCTCTCAGAAGAGGAAGTAGTGACTGAGAGAGTAGAGAGTGAAGGAAGGGGGGGGGGGGGGGGGGGTGTAGCGGCAACAACAACCTGAACCTGGGAATCAACACCTGAACCTGGGAGCCACCACCTGAATCAACACCTGAACCTGGGAATCAATACCTGAACCTGGGAATCAACACCTGAACCTGGGAATCAACACCTGAACCTGGGAATCAACACCTGAACCTGGGAATCAACACCTGAACCTGGGAATCAACACCTGAACCTGGGAACCACCACCTGAACCTGGGAGCCACCACCTGAATCAACACCTGAACCTGGGAACCACCACCTGAATCAACACCTGAACCTGGGAACCACCACCTGAATCAACACCTGAACCTGGGAACCACCACCTGAATCAACACCTGAACCTGGGAGCCACCACCTGAATCAACACCTGAACCTGGGAATCAACACCTGAACCTGGGAACCACCACCTGAACCTGGGAATCAACACCTGAACCTGGGAACCACCACCTGAATCAACACCTGAACCTGGGAGCCACCACCTGAATCAACACCTGAACCTGGGAATCAACACCTGAACCTGGGAACCACCACCTGAACCTGGGAATCAACACCTGAACCTGGGAACCACCACCTGAACCTGGGAATCAACACCTGAACCTGGGAACCACCACCTGAATCAACACCTGAACCTGGGAGCCACCACCTGAATCAACACCTGAACCTGGGAATCAACACCTGAACCTGGGAACCACCACCTGAACCTGGGAATCAACACCTGAACCTGGGAATCAACACCTGAACCTGGGAATCAACACCAACCTCTTTCTGTGAACCACATGAGGAGGCTTCGCTTCCATGTCTTTATTATTTAGCATCGTCTGGGAAAACAAGTCCGCTGCTCTTGTGGTTTAGGTTTGTGCTAATTTTTGCGCATTGGAGAGGTGTTTGTGCTCTTGCAGGTCAGGTGCAATGATAGTTTGTGTCAGTGTAATTTAAATTTCAAACCAGCACAACGCAGATCGGATCCAGTTACATCAGACCTTTGTTTTTTTTTTTTTTTACATCTGCTGGGGTCAGCCAGCGGGTGACCTGTCAGTTGTTCGGTTTGCAAAACCACAAAAAAAAAAAAGCTAATAAACCGGCAACCCGTTAAAACCGCACACTGTCAGAAGCTCAGGCTGATCTTAGAACAACGGGAGGTTCAAACCCAACTCATTCATTCATTCATAAACAAAAGCAAACTGACCAATAAGACTTAAGGTTTGGCGTTCCTCACTTCACCCATCAGACTGACACAGCTGTGTGTGTATAATATCTTTTGACACAGAAGATCTTTTATTTTTCACAATTTTGCTAATAGAACAGATGGCTAGATAATAAAACAATAACTATTCTTTTCTTTTTTATTTAAAGGAAAATTTCAAGGTACTCAGTGCTGTACAGCTGTAGGTGTTACTGCAACAATCCATCAGTTTGCTTTTGTTTATTTCAGTCACTTGTGGCCAGTTTAGAATCACAGAGAAAAGCTCCAAAAGGGAGTCGAACTTCTGATCACATAATAGCAATTAACCATAGCTGCCATGGTAAATTATTACTGATAACTGTTGTGAGTAGTCCTGACATATATATATATATATATATATATATATATATATATATATATATATATATATATATATATATATATATATATAATTAGAAAGACTATCAAACAAGTAGCCCTTCGTGTTGCTCTGTTCCCGTGAAGTAGCTCCCAGTCTCAAAAAGGTTGGTGACCCCTGCCATAAGAGAAAAAGGAGAGACAGAGATTTTAATTTTTAAAATATAACGTTTATTTTCATTCAATAAACAACATGATTATCCCAAAATTATACAAACAAAAAAAAAGACAATAAACAAAGAGAAAAAAATAAAATCAAAATAAATTACATCAACACCTGCCCCAAAAAAGTCCCCCCCTATCACACTACAAATCACGTCCTAACTCCAAATGTAACTGAAAGTATGGAGATCTGACACTGACCTGTAAAAATTAAATTCAAGCAATTGCCTGGACTTCACTAAATGAACAATAGTCAACCCCTCATCCATCTTCCTCCTTCTACATATGTACAAGGCCATCTTAGCCTGTCCCAACAGAAAATTAATCACCTGACTCTTCCTCTTTCCCTGATGTGTAAATTTAAACCCACAAATAAACACACGCGTTGAGAAAGTTTCCCCATAACCATGAAAATTTGCTCGGAGGAGCGCAAAAAGAACTAATAGACGAACACAGTCAGAGAAAGCATGAAACACCGTTTCTCTCTGCACAGAACGGACATCCATCTCCTACAGCAGGATTTAAAACAGAAACAAAAGAGTTAACAGCTACAATGCTGTGAAGTATCTTCCAATGTAAGTCCGCGTGCTTTTTCATCAGAGGAGGCTTATATAACGACCTCCTTATATAAGCCTTACGTTATATAACGTAAGGCCAGGTGCCAAGGAGAGATGATTTCTCCAAACCGTGTCGCTGCGTCCATCCAGCTTGTTTTGATTAAGAATCTTTATAATCAGCCGATAAAACGACTTTCCAGAAGCTCCTTCCAGAGAAACTCCTTTGTCATCCACAGAATCCAGTAAAGCACCAGAGCAGTTCTCGATCCCAAACAGTCTGAAGGATGGAAAGGGGTCCAGATGGTTCGGGAACACGGTACCTCATTGATGCTCAGTTAACAGGGAGCATTCGAGTTCGTTCAACCTGAGCCTCCAGTAGCACAGAAGCCGACCAACAACTCGAACAACTCGAACGGATCCCCAGCGAACAGCGAGCTGAACGGAGAGAGAGGAGAGAGAAAAAGGAGAGGGAGAGAGTGAGAGAGAGAGAAAGAGAAAAGGAGAGAGGAGAGAAAAAAAGAGAGTGAGAGAAAGAGTGAGAGAGAAAGAGAGAGACAGAGGAGAGAGAGAGAGAAGACAGAGAGAAAGAGAAGAGAGAGAGAAAGAAAAGGAGAGAGAGAGAGCGCGTGTGCATTCATGCATCCATTTTATGCGAACACAATGGCCTTTTGTCTCTTTCTACACCATGCTTAACAGTGTCGATGCAAATGTTCTTGTTCGAGACCTCAGATTTTAAAACATTCATATCATTAAAACTAAGAATCGATCACCGCCTGGGTTGCTGTCCTTTTCCTGTAGTCCATTTACCGTAAAACCAGAACTTTCTGCTCCTTCACAATGTTTAGGCCAATTACTAAGAAATAAGTTAAGTTCATAGAACTGTGAATTATTTTGTATGCATGATAATAACTACATTGTGTATTGCTCTGACGTCCCTTTGGAGATGTTGACTGCAAGTCTGCAAAAAATAGAACAAGGACCGCGCTTTCAATAACTGATGGCTTATTACGGTAACGCTGGGAGTGACGCTGTGCCTTAGCGACACAATGACGCAGCGGTGTAAATAACCCCTGTAGATGAAACAGCATTATTTAGTTTCTTGTAGAATAAGAAATTGCAGTCTTAAATGTTTGTGGTGTTTCGGTTTCGACTCGTTAAGCGGTGAATATCTTTGAAGTAACTCGCTAAATTGCTTAGTGGTTGCTTAGTGAGACTGAAACCTCTCAGCTAGCTAACCTCCTTCAGCCTCGCACTGTAGTATCACAGCTATCAGCAGGTCTGCGCCATGGAGTTTCCTTTTGACATTAATCAGTTATTCTCTGAGAGGATCTCCATTCTGGACCAGAATCTTGTTGCAAGTCGCCAATCTAAAGAAAAGTAGGTTAAAACATGAAGATGTGTTTACGCAAATAACTGATCCGTTTATCTGTGCTGCTCACTTGGCTTCAGAAAATCACTGTTGAATCACCTTCTTTTAAAGTCTGGACTGTAGTCAGCAGTGTTTGAAGGTCTCAGAAACTTCACCAATAAAATCTGATTTTCTGTATATTTATTTATCCATCCATCTATCCCTCCCTCCAGGTTTATTTAATATAGCAAATTTCAGTAGCAAGGCAGTTCAAACTGCTTTAAATAAAAAAAAAAAAACTACAAAATGCAAAGTTATGAAGAAACCACCATACAGGCAACAATAGAAGAAACATTAATTTTTTTAATGAGCGCCATCACCAAAATCACACACATCAAATATGTTGGTCGATGCAACTAAAAAGGTGGGGTTTTGTCTTGATTTAAAGGTACTCAGTGTTTCAGCTGTTTTGCAGTTTTCTGGAAGTTTATTCTAGATTTGTGGTGCATAGAAGCTGAATCCTGCTTCTCCATGTTTGTTTTGCTGTGTGGAACTTCATAGGCCAGATCTTCAGGTCAAAATTGCAACAGTTCTTGATGAACTTGGGAAAGCCTCAGCAAAAGTGAGTTCCTGTTTTTTTGTGTGCGGGGGTTGTTTGGGGATTGATGTTTTTTGTTCAAGTAAAATGGTCTTCTGATGAACAAATATCTCTAATTTCTTACAAAAATGCTTCCCCCATCACATATTGGCAACAGGTTCACTGCAAATATGCTTCTGCATGCACCTGCTTAACATGGACCAAGGAAAGCAAAATTTATGGAAATGTTTGGATGTAACCATGTATATTCTTTGTTTCGATTACAGGCACAAGAGCTCCCAGCTCCTATAACAAGTGCTTCCAAGCTGCAGTTCCAGAAGCATCAGCTGTATCTGATGAAGGATGGAGACAGCAGCCGGTAAACCCCATGTCCTTGCTTTCACTCTCTTTCCACTATTGTTTCATGGACTAATCTGTTCATAACATTTAAATTTAATGTGTTTTTTGTCACTCATTTTCTTTCTTCCAAATCTTGCAGTCTGAACAAAGTCTTAGAACATATTTCTATTTTTCTTATTAGAACTGGTAGAATTTATTTAAATTAGTTGCTGGGAATAATCTCAACAGGATTCAGGTGAAGCTTTTCCAAGTGCTTAATATTTTCTTGCTTTATCCATTCCAACGAGATAAAGCAGAAAATTCCTCAGAACATTCATTATGATGTCTTGGCTTTCCTAGCTGGGAAAATATGCATTTCATAAATATTATTTATAGTTCAGATATTTTGAAGAACAATTATTAGAATCAGTGTCTACAATATTGCAAAGGAAAAATGACTCCTTGGAAGTAATTTTTGGCAGGGTGTGATCAGGTGTCATGACTTCATGCTCTGCATATTGATGATGTATTTGGTCAGCTAGAACAGTTGGCTACTTATGACTAATACAAACATTAACATCTCACTAATAGTATTTCAATTATGAAAATTCCAGATCTCATGTAATTCCATTACTCATACAATATTGTTAATAAACTATTAATATTATCTCTAATTGAAGTGGGTGGATGTATGTCTGGATTGAACAAGGCTGCATACTTATAGAATAAAATCTGATCTCTTTCCCATTTCATTTTGTGAGAACTTGGATGGGTTTTACTTGAAAACTGGTCTAAAGTGACTTTTGTTGTAAAATGATGTTAATTACATTAAAATATATTGAAGTTTGGTTTTATTGACAGCTATGCTCATGTCTCATGTTCCTCTGCACTCACAGCAACTCTCTTTTATGTATTCTACACACAGAGGACGGGGTGTGGTTGTGGGATTTCTGAAGGTTGGCTACAAGAAGTTATTTCTGCTTGTGAGTCTGTAACTTTATTTTGATAGTTATTAATTTTTAAATTCCAAATCACAGTTCTTTAACTCTTATTTGTTTTAGGATCGAAATGGTGTGCATATCGAAGTAGAGCCACTGTGTGTTTTGGATTTCTACATTGCAGAAAACTTACAGCGACATGGTTATGGGCTAGAACTATTCAATTTTATGTTACAGGTAAAGCTTTTAGATATTTCATCATAAAAATCTGGTAATAAAATATGAATAAGAGTTGTAATGATGCATGTGAGCCAGCAGGGGGATCAACAGGTCTTATTCTGTATCCTAATTAGCAAATAGCTGTTCCAGACTTATTTAAAATAGACATGGTTAGGTGATCAAATATCAGTCATACAATAGGAATTTTCAACAGGAATGAGAAAAAAACTGTCCCAAAGAGAGGGTTACACAGAGGGGACATAAATGCAAACAATTCCACTTTATGAAGTTCTAGAAAAGTTTATCATCTTGTCTAGGAAAATCATTTTGCTGGTTGGATAGTGTGTATGCTCTTTTTCCAGCTGAAGAAGAACATACACACTAACTATAGCTGCCTCATGCATACATGCTGTGACTAAATACTTAAACCTTTTTGTGTGCTGAAGCTGACTCATTGTGTTAAATTGCATGTATTCTCATGAGTTGGACTTGGACTGTTAACTATTTGCCATTTATAATTTATGTGGAAGACTTAACTTCACATTATAGTGGTGGTCACCAAACAGACCACAGTTTGGATCACTGATTGAATGTTTTTCAACTATACTCTATTTACCACCCTAACTGAAGTAGATTTTGTTTTGTACCTACTTTGCTTACTCCTGAAGTCCTAAGAAAAATAATGTAATTACCTGAGAGCACCATCTCCACTGTCAAGCACAGGGGGGCCGAACCGTAATGTGTGGTATTTTGTTGCATGAGAGACTGGGCTCTTTGCAAAATGTGGAAATATTAAAGGAGCTTCTCAAGAAAAAGGCTAGAAAATTAAAGCTTTGCTCAATGGTTAATTACCCCAAGGATTCAACAAAGCTAAGTGGTATGAAAAGAGGCATAAAGATGACAAGGTAAAATGTCTTGGGGTGGTCATCACAAAGCCTTGATCTCTGTGCAGTAGGAAACTGAAATGACGTGAGCTAACAAGCAGGCCTAGAAACCAGACTCAGTTCCATCAGTTCTGTCAGGAAGATCAGACCAGAACTCCATAAAACTGTGCGGAGAAGCTTGAGGAAGTATATCTAAAATATTTGACCTAAATCATGCATTTTTAACGCAGTTCTACCAAGAACTAAGTAAATGTATATAAACTTCTGAAGAAAAACGATATCCCTCTGATTATTATTGTAGAATAGTTTTCTTCTGCAGGGTAACTGTTATTGTCCATTTTTTCTTTGCTGTAGCATCAGAACGTGGAGCCAGTTTTGCTGGCATATGACAGACCTTCCACCAAATTGCTGGCATTCCTGGCTAAGCATTACAATCTGAGGCAGAGTGTTCCTCAGGTAAGACCTGTTATGTCTGTCCTGTCAATATCTCTTTTATGGTTCTACTTTTTTATGACAACCACAGAAAATAAAGTAAAGGTTACTTTCACAAGATTTTTAAAAATCTTTATTCCACATTAAGTCCTTCACTCTCTCCTCTTCTTCCATTTTTAAAGCTTCTGTTTTATTAGTTTGAGCAACAAAAGCGTTGGGAAGGTCTGTTATATCTGAAGGAATTCTTCTTATTGTTTTCCGCCCAAAATTGTTGATAGGTTATTGGGGCCTGTCCATAGCAATGCATGACAGGAACTTATTGTTCTTCACCTAATAGAATTCATCTTTATTTTTTAATTTTTTCCGTCAACCGGAATGCGGCTCATACTGCTGCGTGCCCACCCACAAAAGTGATATCAAAACGGGGAGCTATTACTTTTATTGGGATTCGGAGTTACGATGGCGATGTAAAAAATGAAAAAAGAGCAAAATTTCCAACTGCCGAACCGCGGAGCATAACTGCCAAAACCTAGAGAGTAACTGACTCTAGAGTGATTAGAGTGTGGGAAGTAGTGCGATTTTGACCCCAAATAAATTTTGAAATCGCCGTCACGCCCACAAATATCGCCCGATCGATATCAAACTATGTCATTACATCGTTACGCATGCCTGCTTCGGCAAATTGTTTTCCAAATTTTGCAAGGGCTTACGGTTTTCTGTCAAGGGGCTTCAGAGCGAAATCATGTGCCAGGGTAACTGATGCTCTCAGCTATTCATTTTCATGCTTTTATGGAAAATTTCAGACCTCAGTGTACACCATTTTTCTCTCATTACTGCAATTACTGCGAATGAGCTACAGATATGAATTGCGGGACTATCGGAGACGACAAATAGCGCTCTCATACGCTTCAAACGGTTTTCCAATAAGTATCACGGTTCCAAAACGGGAAGGAGTTGTTCGGACTTCTTTTTTCATTAAAACTGACTGGGTGTCTCACAAAGATAGAAATCTTTCTCCACCTCTCTGCCTCACATTCACATGACAGTTGACCTCTTTAGAACTACAATTACTGCAGGTTAGGACTACAACATGGCGGAACACTCAGTGCCTACAAAAGAGGTCAGAACTGATTGTCAGAACTACAATGTGGCGAAACTGTCAGTTGCTAGTGAGGAGGAATGAGGTGGCCTTTCATTGTGTTTGGCCATTTCATAACTGATTTTAACCAACCATTGTTACACACAGGATTAGTGTTAATTAATTTTAATTAAACATAATAAAAGTATGTTTAATTAAAATGTCAAAATAAAAGCCTTGAGATTTTTATATTATGTCTTTGCTCTTTTGGGCATTATATAACTGACTTAACTAGTGTAACACATAAGATTGTTACATTCATATTCATTTAATATGAAGCTTATTTGAAATTTCAAAATAAAAGCCTTGACATTTTTTATATCAGGTAATTGCTCTCATGGGATTCATTTGCATTTTTTAACAAAACCACTGTTACACTTTGGATTAGTTTGGCAATTAAAAATAAAGCTTCATAAAAATTTCAAAATAAAAGCCCTGGAATTTTTTTTTAATGAGATTATTGCCCTTTTTGGCATTTTATAACTGATTTAACCCACTCACTGTTTATCATGGGATTAGTTTGGACATTTAAAATGAAACTTACTGAAAATTTCAAAATAAAAGCCTTAAGATTCGTCTCTGGCTAGTGCAGCGTCACAGGCGCTGCAATGATATCAGCTTGCATTATATTTTTCTCTCAGGTTAGGAACAATAGCACAAACATTAGCATTTCACTGCCCCCCACTAGTGCATTGCCATAGGCAGTGCAATAATATTATCCTGCATAATCTTTTTCACTCAGATTAGGCAGAGCATTAGCATTAGCTTTTTACCTTAAATAAGCTTTTAGCTATTTTTCCTACTTGTTAGCAATTTTTAGCATACTGAATGGAGGAAGTCAATTACAGACATCATATTAGTGATGCCCCACATGCTACTGACAGCATGTAGGCTCACATTAGCATTTTGGCTCATTTTAGATTATACATTACTTTTAACATACTGAATGGTGCAAGTCCATGTTAGTGAACATTCTTGTGACTCTCCACATGCTCTTGATTACATTGCAGCTTTCTTTAGCATTGATGCTAATGTTTAGCATCAGAACGCTGGGTCCAAACCGACAGGCACACTTTTTCAGGCCCCGGTTAAATTTCTTCAAGAATTTCCTTGTTGGAATAGTCATATCTCCCTGATACATCATCCAATCTGTACCAAATTTTTTGTGCATCATTACTCAACACGTTGTGGCACATTAATGACATCACTGAAGTCCTGCCCATCCATCCATCCATCCATCCATCCATACATACATACATACATACATACATACATACATACATACATACATACATACATACATACATACATACATAACATACATAACATACATAACATAGATAACATCGATAGATAGACAGAAAGCACAACGGACGAGTACAGCGCCCACATCACTGCAGATGCCACATCACTCTGCTTATCGATTGACTTGGGGCATGACCTTGTCCACAACCTGGAGAAGCATTCTACCAGTTTCCAGCTTTCCAAGACCATGTTCTGAGATACTGGATTTGCATCCAGGCTCCTTCACATTCAGCAGCAAATTACTCCAGAAGATTACAATCTCAACAGCAAAAAACAGAGACTCAATCCTGAGACCACCAAAACAAAACCCCTCAACACCATGGCTGCCCAGACATTCTGTCCATAAAGGTTCTAAACAGACAAAGGAAACCTTTGTAGACTCCGGCTTTCGCTGGAAATCAGTCCAACTTACTAGTGGGAAGACTTACAAGATTCCTGCTCATTGAATTAAGATGGTACATTTTTCTTTATTGTTTTCAGTGGTTTCTTTCACTCAGTAAGTCAGTTTTATGTGGTAACATAACAGCCCAGATGTCATCTGGTAGAACCCCATAAAGTAGAAAACCGGTCAGGTAAATAAATCTATTTTTGAAACTTACAGTTAAGTTCAACTAGCTTGTTCATCTGATTTAGTTCAGGAGGTGAACATGCTGGAATATCCATGGGATGTTTTGTTGTGTTACAGCTGCTGGAAGCTCCATTAAATGTATCCTGTGATATAAATGTGCTGTTCTCAGAATGAACATTGTCATTGTTTGATGTAACTATTTTATCACTGTGTGCAGGTCAATAACTTTGTTGCCTTTGAGGACTTCTTCCACAAAAGAGCAGGTAATTTTTAACTTTTTTTTTTTGTGCCACATTTTGCTCATGAACAAAGCCATATGACGGTCATTTTCAAAATGTGACAAACCGATTTGCTTTCAGTTTTTCCTGTCGGTATATCTTTGTTTCAATGTACTCTATTATTATTATTATTATTATTATTATTATTATTATTATTATTATTATTATTATTATTATTATTTAAATGTTTTCCCTTTTTTCATTCTGCTAATGTAAGACTTTCTTTATTTGATGACAACTCAAATGTATTTTTGCTTTAATTTCAGTTCCAAAAAAATAACAACTTAACCTAATTTCTACATACAATTTAGTTTTTCCTTACAGAGAAGACATGCTGTTTTTTAGGAGGAGCTTATTCATTTTCTCATGTTCCTCAGCCTCATCATGTTGTTGACTTTCTTCCCTTATAATTAGCTACAAGTTTTATATTTGCACTTTGTATCAAGAACCAAAAACAGCTTGAGTAGAATAAGTATAATACACAGTTTCCCAGAATTTCTTTTTCCTTGTAGCATCTGCTATGTGCACCTCAGAAGCTTCTTCTTCTGCTGGTGTTTGACTTACTGTAAGTATGAAGATGTCAATGGCACTTTAATGAAACTGGGAAGATGGAACAAAGTCTTCCATAGTAATAGTAATAATAATAATAAACATGTTATCTACAATGCAATTCATATGATAATTTCAAAGAGCTACAAAATATCAACCTGGTTTTTAACCTGCCAGTTTATGCATTTTAATCTTTTTGACTTAGAGTGAAACTTAATTTATGAAAAAAAGATGTTGCCTTCCATCCCGAGCTGAGTGTACTTTTTATTTTTTACAGTGTCCCAGTTGAGAAGAGTAAAAAAGGCTGATGGAGAGATTAAGCCTTATTCTTTAATGGAAAGAGAAGGTAAATTATAATTTTAGTTATCTATAAGTTTATCATTGAAGATCTCTTGAATACCGGAGGCCCTCTCCATTCCATAGCCTCATTGCTATTGAATCATGCATGTGAAAAGCTGTGGGTTACAAATATAACATAAAATATTTATGTTGCTTCATACGTTTTTTTACTGAAGGAGTCGCTCTAAAACAGGAATGGTCCAACACAGCTGAGTGAAATCGCTGAACCACCTTCTAAGTGCAGTCCAGTTCTCCAGAGTCCTGCTAATGACCTCATTATTTGACTGAAGTAAAGTAGAAACATCTAAAAGTTGCAGGAGACCGACCCTCGAGGCCTGGAGTTACCCAACCCTTCTCTAAAAGAAAAAAACAATCATTTATATTTGAGAGCACTACTTTATGCAGTTAAACAGATTTGCACTGCTCAATGCTTTTTAATAAGATTGGAACATTGGAACATTGATATCTGTCAGATATAAAACCTGACAGAGTAAGTTATAAAATCAAATTGATATTGACTACATTGGAAACAGCAGGTTGGGCTTTTATAAAACTTGGTGATGATCCAGTAAACTGCTCCCCTTTTATTGCTCATGCTGATATTCAATGTGTTGCTCCATTTGCCCTGTGAAACCCTGTGACAGCAGCAACAATGTTTGTTTTTCACACACAGCTTTATCTACTTATCATTTTCATGGACAACTGCGGAAATTCTTCTTTGGCTTTTAACTTGAGTCTAGTTTATTTATTTGCCATGAAACCTAAATATGTATTACTTCACTGTTTTTCCAAGTTCTCCATAATCAGATACAGTCATATGAAAAAGTTTGGGCACCCCCATTAATCCTAATTGTTTTTATTTCTAAATATTTGGATGTTTGCAACAGTTGTTTCAAATATGAAACGATAATATTTCAGTATTAAATTGAGGTTTATTGTACTAACAGAAAATGTGCAATATACTATACATTAAAACAAAATTTGACAGGTGCAAAAATTTGGGTACCCTTATTATTGTATTGATTTGACTACTTCTAACTACTTTTTACTGACTTAGTGGAAAACAAATTGGTTTGGTAACCTCATTAAGATTTGAACTTCATAGGCAGGTGTTTCCAATCATGAGAAAAGTTATTTAAGTGGCCAATTGCAAGTTGTTCTCCAATCTGAATCTCCTCTGAAGAGTGGCATCATGGGCACCTCAAAACAACTCTCAAGTGATCTGAAAACAAAGATTGTTCAACATAGTTGTTTAGGGGAAGGATACGAAAGTTGTCTCAGAGATTTAAACTGTGAGGAACATAATAAGAAAATGGAAGACCTCAGGGACAGGTCTTGTTAAGAAGTTGCAGGCCAAGAAAAATATCAGAGAGGCAGAAAAGAAGAATGGTGAGAACTGTCAAGGACAACACAGAGACCACCTCCAAAGACCTGCAGCATCATCTTGCTGCAGATGGTGTCACTGCGCTGAATTGTTCAACAATTCAGCGCACTTTGCACAAAGAGAAGCTGTTATGGGAGAGTGATGCGACAGAAGCCTTTTCTGCAAGCACGCGACAAACGGAGTCGCTTGAGGTCTGCAAATGCACATTTGGACAAGCCAGCTTCATTTTGGAATAAGGTCCTGTGGACTGATGAAACAAAGATTGAGTTGTTTGGTCATAAAAAAGGTTGTATAAAAAAAAACACAGCACTCCAAAAAAAAAAAACTTTAAAATTTGGTAGTGGTTCCATCATGCTTTAGGACTGTGTGGCCAATGCCAGTACTGGGAATATTGTTAAAGTTGAGGGTCGCATGGATTCCACTCAATATCAACAGATTCTTGAGACTAATGTTACGAAGTTGAAGCTACGCCGGGGATGGATATTTCAGCAAGACAATGATCCAAAACACCGCTCCAAATCTACTCAGGCATTCATGCAGAGGAACAATTACAATGTTCTGGAATGGCCATCCCAATCCCCAGACCTGAATATTATTGAACATCTGTGGGATGATTTGAAGCAGGCTGTCCATGCTCGGCAACCATCAAACTGAACTCTGCTGGAGACAGCAGGGAGCAGAGCGCACATTCACCTTTGATGGACTGCTGCAGGACAAGACGTAGCAAGTAAGAGCTGAATGCACACAATTACTCTGTTCCACATTATCTGTTTATGTGCCATTACTTTATTGATATATATATTACTATGGCTCAAAATACGATGAAGCTGCTTTCACACATTCACACATAGCACTTCAACTGTTTCAGAAAGCAAATGAATAGATTAATAAGACAGTGATCATAAACGTGTTTTTATTAAAGGTTGATGCTGCAATGATTGCAATAAAATTACGTTTTTATGTGGGCATAGCTTTCATAATCTCTACTGTAAAGACAACATCTGGATGGATGTTGCAGTCATATTTGAATGTGTGATCAGAAAAAAGTTAGGAGTAAAAAGCAGCAAATATAGCAATAACCCTGATTGAACAAAACCTGTTGGTTTTGTTCTTGGAGCAAGGTGATGTTCATGCATGACTCATTTTGTGCACCAGTAAAAAAAAAACAATATATACCTATGTCTTGAATTTGGAAAAATAATCATATTTTATTTATCACTAAAGAAGGGTTTAATGAATGCGCATATGAAACTGGTGGGTTCGGTACCTAAAAAAAGGTTAAGAACCACTGAACTAGAGGCTGTTATTTTTGCAAAAGGAGGATCTACTAAATAATAATGTCACTTTTTTGCTGAGGTGCCCATATTTTTGCACCTGTCAAATTTTGTGTTAATGCATACTGCGCATTTTCTTTAAGTCCAATAAACCTCATTTCAATATTCTGTGCCCATAAGTTATTGGTTGTATCAAACTAAAATAGCTGTTGCAAACATCCAAATATTTAGAGATGAAAATAATTAAGATTAACAGGGGTGCCCAAACTTTTTCCTATGACGTGTATATATTTATTTGCTTAAAATTTAAATTTTGTTTTGTGTTTTTTTCTAGAGGTACTCCAAGAGCAGAGGACACTTCCTTGGCCATTTGCTGCTCCCCAGTCTCCTCACCGCTCAGTATCTTCCCAGTCTCCCAGTGTGGGCTCCTCTCCCAGGAGGGTGCCTGGGAGAGGAGAGCTTCCATGTGTAACACATGCAGCATTTGCTGGAGACAGCAGGGAGCAGAGCGCACATTCACCTTTGATGGACTGCTGCAGGACAAGACGTAGCAAGTAAGAGCTGAATGCACACAATTACTCTGTTCCACATTATCTGTTTATGTGCCATTACTTTATTGATATATATATTACTATGGCTCAAAATACGATGAAGCTGCTTTCACACATTCACACATAGCACTTCAACTGTTTCAGAAAGCAAATGAATAGATTAATAAGACAGTGATCATAAACGTGTTTTTATTAAAGGTTGATGCTGCAATGATTGCAATAAAATTAATTTATGTGGGCATAGCTTTCATAATCTCTACTGTAAAGACAACATCTGGATGGATGTTGCAGTCATATTTGAATGTGTGATCAGAAAAAAATTAGGAGTAAAAAGCAGCAAATACAGCAATAACCCTGATTCTTTTTGTAAGGAAAAATTATTGATCACTTTTCCATTCAGTTTAAAAACCATAAGCAAACTATAAACAGAGGCGGTCCTAGCCTGTTTGGTGTCCCTCCTCTTCCCGTCCCCCGTTATACAAAGTTGTTGACAGGGGCACTATTGACATTCAGATCTTCCAGTTGTACGTTTTTTTTTTGTTTTTTTTTTCATTTAAAAAAAAATAGCGAGGGACAGGTAAGTAGTTTAGTTATCTGACTTTTATAGCGTTTACATGTAGATGTGATGTGAAATTCTGTGTTTCGGTTCAGTTGCAAAATAAAGAAGCAACACCTACACCAACTCTGACAAATCACTGTAGAGCAGATGTTTAAATTTCAACCACCATGGCGTTAGATTAGCTGTTTATTAATCATTTCAAAACAAACATTGAGTCTTAAAATGTAATACTGCAACGGGCTGAATGTTTTGTTCTTTGTGTGGAAAATGTTTTTTGAGTTTTTTTTAGTGGGTTTGTGATCAGTTGCCAGTGAATCATTTGCACTATTAGTGTGTTGAGAATCTCGCAGCCTGAGCAGTATTTATTAAATGTTATTGATTAAGTTAATAAACTAAACTTGGAAATTGTTTTGAACTTAAAACAATAAAATGAACTTCTTTCAGCTGTTTGGATAACTGGGTCATAGAATGGTGGCGCCAGTGATTAGTACATTTAAAAAATTAAATATTGTCAGATTTGCAGTAGTATTTAAATTTGGGTGAGTGTGGCATGAAAACATTTATTCCATAGGGAAGGCATTACAGGAAATTACTGCAAAACCATTACTGTGACAAAATGACAAAGATTTTTCTTGCTGCTCTAGAAAAGAGATTGAATTCTTGCTGAATATGCAAAGGCTTTAAGAGGTTGGGAACATTACAAGTGCATTTGTTTTTGGGTCACACATTATGGATAGGAGGCCACTGACTCAATGCTCTAACAGAGACTCATGCTCCATCCCAGCCCAGAGTCATTACTGGAAAACATGCGCCAGTCCATCTGATCCAAACACATACCTTTTACATAATAAACCAGGCTTTATATGTTAAATACGTAGATAAACAGAACTGGATTTGCTGGTTTTGTGTTTTTGCTGATTAGGATTTAGAATGTGATGTTATGGGCACCTGGATAAATCCTGTGTAAAAAGCTTCTTGGTTTGGTTTTGAAGATGGAAACAATCTGTTTTTCCATTAGTCCACCATGCAGATTGAGACTGGTCACATGATCACCTTGTTTGTCAAAATTTATAACTGATTAGTAATAGTGTATCTCTTTCTCTCTTTTGTCTTCTATCGTGTTTTTGTTCTTCCATTCTACATAATTTGTTCTTTTTAACACCATTTTCATGTCTGTCTTATAATTAATTGACAGTTCCCTCAGTAGATCTCAGCTGGGTTTTAATTAACCCTGGAACTGATGTTTGTTTCAAACAATTGTTCTACTGTCTTGATATTGATACTGTTTTTTTCCTGATTAGGAACAAAAAAGCTGCTTGTTTAGCATAAGGATTTGATTCAGACTTGAATAGAATGACAAATTCCCATATTAATTTCAGTTCTAAGGTTTGCGCAGTGAACCAACTTTGCTTGTCTTTTTTAACCCATTAAATTCTAAGATAGGATTTTGGTTTTATCTCAAATACACATAAACTTGTATCAATAAAATAAAATAATTTTTTTCAGATTGCTTATTCTTTTTATCTGTAAAAGTTGGTGTCTGCTTGTTGAGGATTAATTCTCTGAGGTAACAAGTTCAGGAAGGAAAGCCTGATTCATCCCTTATTTGTTGTCCCAAAGAAAGAAACTCTCTGCAGCAAGACAAAACTGACCCTGAGGTTTTAAATCTAGGCTCCCTCTTTCCCTCCACTACTACTTCTTTACCCCACAAACAGTAAGGGCATCCCTGGCTTAGTACAATTGATAATGGAGCAAGCTGGACATGGTGCCAATCATACAGACATTTCTGCGGCAAGACATACAAAATTAATCATTTTGTATGAGACACAGTATAAATCCTCTCCTGGTTTAATTATGAACATCACAACCAAACTCCAGTAACTACCTCAGGAACTCTGAAATGACAAAGATCTGGTTCAATGTTCCATAGCTATATACAAGCCACATATCTTGCCTGAAGTCTGGAGAGACTTCTTTTTGCCAGCCCACAGAAATCACTTGCAGGGCTGCTGAAAAGTGTGATCACAGTTGGAACCCACTTTTTAAATTATCTTTTTAAAGGACCGCTAACCCTGTCTCTCCCATGCAACTTTGAAGGTGTGTCATCAGAGATGTCCAAAGTTCTCAGGGTAAATTCATAAAAGTAATCATACGCATCAGCTTAATGAAGTGGTGTGTGTATATAGCTGAGCTTATGTTTGAACCTTTGTTTTTTCGGTTTTAAACATTTGAGTTATTTTTTTATTTGTTATTTATTTTGCTTGGCTTCCCCCCATCCCTTAGTTGACTTGTTTTTCCTGGCTTTTTGTCACCATTTCTGTTCTGTTTGTATCATTGGTTTCTGTGCACTTTTCTCCAGTAGCGAAAAAGGTTTAGTTGCCAGATCCTGTCTGTATAGTCGACACATGGACATCAGACTTGATGGACTCCTGGACAGAAACTCAGGTAAGATTTGATTAGTCATTTGAAATGTTGAATGTGAACAGTTTTTTAGTCATTAAGTCCAGGTTTTCAGGTTACCATAGTCATTGAGTTATTGTATCCAAACTATTCATGAGTGAATTGATTAGAATTTCTTTCAACTTCATGCAGAAAAGACAGATGTCATTGTCTTTGGTCCAGAATCAGTGATAATCTTTTCTGGATGAGACCAAAAACCACACAGCCTGTAAAGACCTGTGTGTCCTCAGAAACTCACATCGGAAGTTTTATGTTTGAGAAAAACATTTAGTAGAAGAGCATCCCTTTGCTGCACCATCCAGCAATTTTCCCTCACCTAAATCTCATTGGGAATGTTTTAGGACTTGAGATTTCCAATAACTGACCTTCTGGAAACACTTTCCTCAAGCACTCTTCAGCAAATTTGTGAGGTGAACAAAAAGAACTTAGTCTCTTTTGCTATTTTTTGTTTTGGAAATTTTGGGTTAACCTTTTGGATACTTGAACCCTGATTGAGTTTAAATATTTCAGAAACTGATCATGTGTTAAAAATGTAGAACAAAAGCTACTCTTCCAATAATTCAATAGCATAAAATGTAAATACTTGTAACATTTTTTGTGGCCTTTAGAGTTGGAAGGTGTGAAGTGTTTTTGTAACTAATATTTATTGAGTTAATTTAATTTCATCCTAGCAACTTTCCACATTAGAGTCACTCTTTGTGACTCCCTGTTTGGAAAAAGAAAACTACATGCACAATGTATCATGTATAATGGACCTACAGGTGGTTTCTTATGGAGGACCAATTCTGACAAGCATACAGTCATTACATATATGTTGTTTTTCCTTTTTCTCAAACACGTTTTTGTCCAGAAATGTATAAGTCTTCTTTTGCGTTGTCCTTATGTAACACAAAAACATTGTTCTTTTTATATTGCCTCATCGTTTTATTTTACTTTTCCTTATGCATTTCTGGCTCATTATGCAAATGAGGAGGGCGGGGTTTTAACGCTTCAACTTCTGCAGCTGCTTCATCCAAACTATAAAAAGTCTAATGGCGAACCTTTGAGTCCGTGAAACTGAAACACACATTCTATCTGAGCGTCCACACAAAAAAATAATAATTAAGTCTGGACTTATAGCATTATTTTCTATTAAAGTTGCTAAGCTTCAGCTCACTGATAAACTGATAAACTGCTGGCCACCTCTGTTGATGCCAAGTATAGTTTAATTCTAACCAATAGGCACTGCCCTGCTCATTTACATAAGGAGGCAGAAATGCATAAGGAAAAGTTAAAAAAAGAGATGAGGCAATGTAAAAAGAACAAATGCTTGTATAAGTTATATAAGTTGTCAGAATTGGTCCTCCAGAGTTTTCAACCTCCTGATGGGTAAATAACCTCTGCCTCCAGGTCGGACACCAACAGGAGGTCAGACTTGTGCAGTGGGTTGGAAAAACAAACACAGGTTGGCAAGTATTCACACACCACTGAGTGGACATTTACTGCACTTTACAGCTCTGACAGTTGGCTATATAAAGACAGTAAATTAGACTGAGTGTGCAGAGAAAGTGTATGTGGCAAAAAACATTTCAACAGAAAAAGACTGCTGTTTGTGTGTGGAATAAGTTTGGACACTTATAGCTAAAGTTAGGTTTAAGGATGTTGTCATTGTGCGACATCCTCCCCTCCCCTTCCTTCACTCTCTACTCTCTCAGTCACCACTTCCTCTTCTGAGAGGGAAGATGTGCTACCAGCTCTCCATCTAATGGGTAAATTGAGTTTCCTAAATCTGCTGTCCAGAACTGAAGTAAACTCCATCGAGATTGGAGTTCGCCTGATTTCTACGACCTATATCCAGATGTCTCACCCTTCTCCCCCCTATGAATTAGCCAGACTGAGCAGCCTGCAGCCAACTGGTTCCACAGAGCACATCTGTTAACGGTCGCTCCTTCTCTTTATTACAACTTGCATATGTTATTTGTTATTGGTTGGTTTTAGTGACTCTGACGAGTCCCAAGAATGTTGTTTTAGATTTGGGCTAAAGCAACCTATATAACATTTTCTACTTTTCTTCCCCAGAATCAAACATCACAGCTATTTTACTACCATCAAAGAAGTTTGAGGTGACTCATTAATTAAATGTCCACATCTTTTAGATTTTCTTTATGTTAAATATTTTATTAGTAAGGCATTTTTGCAAGGGTCAGTACAGCTTAATTAAGTAGCAGAAATAATTAGAATAGAATAGAATAGAATAGAATAGCATTTATTGTCATTGAACAGGATTCAACGAAATTTCTATTGCAACTCCCGTGCAAAAACACCGTCATCCCAGAGAAGCTAGTGCTGAAGCTACTCAAGGTGGGGCTGCCTGCTTCACTGTGCCACTGGATCAGAGACTTCCTCACCAACAGGCCTCAGGTGGTGAGAATAGGTGGCTCAACATCGTCCCCCCTGGTCCTCAACACAGGCACACCGCAGGGCTGTGTTCTCAGCCCAGCTCTCTTCACCCTGTTCACACACGACTGCGTTGCCATCCACCTCACCAACACAGTCGTCAAGTTCGCGGACGACACAACAGTAGTGGGTCTCATTTCAGACAACAACGAGACCCACTACAGAGAGGAGATTCAGCAGCTCACTCAGTGGTGTTCAGCCAATAACTTGGTGCTGAGCACAGGGAAGACCAAGGAGGTCATTGTGGACTACAGAAGGTCCAGGAGGACGGGTCACACTCCCCTTCTCATAGATGGAGAAGAGGTGGAGCGTGTGGACAACATCAAGTTCCTGGGCCTCCACACGTCTGACCTCTCCTGGAATACCAACACCTCCCACCTGGTGAAGAAAGCACAACAAAGGCTCTTCTTCCTCAGGAAACTGAGACGGGCTGGACTTTCCTCACGGCTGCTCGTGAACTTTTACAGGGCGACGATCGAGAGCGTCCTCTGCCTCAACGTGACTGTGTGGTACGGTGGCTGCACATCACTGGAGAGGAAACAACTGACACGGGTGGTGAGAACAGCACAAGGCATTGTGGGATGCCCCCTCCCGGACCTGGACTCTATTTACATAGGCCGGGTCAAGAAGAGAGCTAGATCCATAGCCATGGATTCCAGCCACCCGGGCCACAGACTGTTTGTGCCGCTGCCATCAGGCCAGCGGTTCAGGAATATACGGACTACAACAAACAGACTGAGAAACAGTTCTTCCCCACAGCCGTCAGAGCCATTACTCCCTGCCGCCCCCTCCCACACATATCATAACCTCACATACACCCCCCCACCCCCACACAGCCATATTGTTCTGCACTTGCACTGTCACATCATCTGCACTTTACCATAATTGGACCTGCTGCTTCTTCTTTGGTGTGGTTGAGTGCCTTTAGTTAATTTTAGTTGTATATATTATTATTATTGTGTATTTGTTTATTTAATATTGTATTTTTTGACTTTTTGCACGGGAGTTGCAATAGAATTTCGTTGAATCCTGTTCAATGACAATAAATGCTATTCTATTCTATTCTATTCTATTCTAAATAAGTAAAATCAATCATCTAGCCTATCTTTCCCTAACGCTGATACTAAGAACTAAAAAGGGAACCTTTAGAGAGACGGACAGAGTTTGGTGTTTTGAACCCCAGAACTGGCTTGATGATGAAGAAGGTGTTGCAGGAGGAAGAGGAAGTTGATTGATGAAGGCAGGGATCTCTGTTGGTCTGATGAGCTGTCATCTCTGTTTCGATGGTGAGGTCACACAGGACTTGGGTCTTTGTCTTTTCCTTGATCTTCATCTTTGTCTTTATCTTTGTCTTTGGGGTCTGAACCCAGCCGATGAGAGAAGTCCAATTCGAAGCCACATGTTGCGGGGCTGATGGGTTGGTCCCCGTGTGCAGGACAGTCTTCGTCCCTGTGGCCCCGGCTCTTCTTCAGCTGCAGAGTTCTTTGTCCATCTTGGTCTTGGCTCGAAGCTGCCTGGAGGATCCAACCAAAGATTCCTCTTTTGCTCTCCCCTTATATAGGGTTTATCCACCATTTTGGTGCATTTTCATTGGCTAACACTGTTGCTGTGCTTATTTCATTGGCTGACTGCTTGGACAGATGAACTCATATCCATCACTGTCTTTGAGACATTTTGTCCTGATGTCTGTGCTAATGTCTCAGGGTTGCTCAATGTCCCTTTCATGTCTTTTCTTTGAAATGTTTAAGTTGTTCAACCATCTATCTCCAAATAAGGCATTGATCATCTCTACTCATATTAGTTCCCATTTCACCCTTGACCTTTCACCTACTATCTACCTCCAACACATCAGTGATCTTTAATTGCAGTTACATGTTTTACACCATTTCAGGTTCAATGTCAAAATCACATTCATAACCCTTTTAGTTTCTTTGATTTAGTATTCATTTATAATTTTATGATAAACATAACTTATTACTCTTATATAATCACAATGTGAGTTATTAGATGTTCTGAAAAGAAACTAGGAATAATCTATTATTGTAATTATTTGATACCAAAGTTACAGTTACTTGCTTTACTTGTGTCCCCAAAAGTGTAAGTATAAATGTAGGTATTCTTGCAAGTAAACCAATATTGATAGAAGTATTTCACGTTAAATGTTATCTAATTACTCAAAATGTTTAGATTTCATCCTTTAAAACTTTCATGCTTTGAAACAAGGAATAGTCTCAGCTATCTTTATACTGCAAGCTGGAGACAAAAACAACACACACAACCAGATTTATTTTTATTGCAGTCTAAGTCTGCTGTTGGGTCTAGATGTCACTTGTGTGATTGATTTTAAAGATAGCTTTATTTATTGTCACTGTTAAACTAAAATCTCCAGCATGGGGAAGTGGGATGATCTCAGATTTGCTTGACAATGTTTCGTTTTAAACTGTGGTTTAGACCCTCCCTAGAATTTGCAATGAATGACAAATTCAGGTCTTGTGCTGGTGGCTAAGCTTGGGCTGCTATCATCTTGCTGGTGACATTGGCTACTGCAAACAGATCTGCATCTGTGGAGCTCCACTCATAACAAAACGTTAAGGCTCAAGCTCCTGAATGAATGTTTGTGTCTTGCTCTTGGCATGTCTCTGCCTGCCTTCAAGGCCAGACACTGACACACCCTTCAGCTGGCTGAGAGCTTAAATGAGCATTCCTCATATCTCCCATCATTTCAATAAGCTTATTAAATGCAGAATTTGTAAAAGGATTTTTAATGACATTCATGCTGCAGCAGTTATCTTAGTGAAGTTGTCAGATAGCATATAGAAATATTCAAACAGCTTGTTTGTTTTCCTTCTGTCCTCATGACTCCAGTATTGTCTCTCTGTTGAGCAGAGCCCAGTATGGCCTAGCAGCGTTGCCTGGACCTCAGAGTGATGATGTTTACAGCCTGACAACCACAGATGGCACAAAGAAGCACCTGGATTCAGCCGCTGAGTCCCATGCAACATCAGACGATACCAAAATGTTGGACAACAAACAGAGCTCATTTGAAGGCAACTACAAACCTCTAGAGAAAGATAATTCCAGAAAACAGTCAGACTGGTCATGGACAGTGGGAGGAAACTACTCCACTGCACAGTGGGTCAAGCAAAATCAGGTTTACAGAAGCACTCGTCCTTGGTGATCAGGAACATCTAACATGGATGAACAAGATAAACACAGTCGCCACACATGACTTAGCCGGACTGCGGTATTAAATAAAGCAGAATGTTCCAAAACAATGTTTCTGAGTTGGTTGTTGAATGCAGTTCTGAATCTATTACAACTGAACAGCCACACTTCCATGATACTGTGCTACAACATTTTTACTTTAAATTCAGTTTCAGTGAAGCCAAAATACTTGAGTTTGATGTTTGTTGTTATTGGAACTCCACAGTTTCCAATAACCTGTGAATAGAAGTGTGCCTATTCAAACTAAGGCAAGTAAGTTATGTTCTTTTTTTGATTAATTTATGAATTGAACTAACTGCTGCTTCTAAATTCTCCTTAACTGTGAATTTGTGTGTGTGTAATTATATGCCGTCTGTTAGACTGCCCAGGGCAGTCGTGGCTAGTAGGTAGCTAACCACCATTAATGTGTGTGAATGTGTGTAATAATTGATGAATGACTGACTGCAGTGTGAAGTCCTGTTGAATTATCAGACTGTACTGTTAAAGTCTTTACTGTTAATTCCACTGTAACCCCTGACCTCTGTATGGTACCTTATTAGCTAGTGTTGAAGCTTTCTCCAATGCTTTGGAGTCAGTGAGTCAGGTATAGTTGGAAAGTCTTTATTAGGATTAATAGTGTGGATTTGTTTCCCAATTCTTTACGGTGTTAATACAAAACAATATTTGTATTGTTTGGTTTATTTATTCAGTTGGTGGATTATTTGTAAATAACTAACAAAAAGTTGTCATGTTGACAAAAGTGGTAATCATGGACCCTCTTACTATCTTAACAAAATCTGCTGAATGATAAAAACAAACCCTTTCACTGCACTGTTCCAGTAAAGAGTGATGAAGAGTGATGATAATGAACCAAGCCAAACCTGCAACACGTCATCGTGACAACCATCCTTTGTGTTCTGGGTTAACTCAGCCTGTAACTTGGTTTTCTAAGTATGAGGAACTATTGCTTATCTCCTGCCAACATCTGGCTGTTTACACTTGCACTTTGCTGATGCTCATTTACTCATCCTGCTGGGGTTATTCAACTTCTGCCCTGTCGAAACAACATTTTTTAAAATAAAAGCCACTACCATGCCCATTAGCATACTTCATTCAACTTATCTGCCTGATATGGACAGAAAAGTCAGTATAACGCTGAGAAATCTGACACTGTTTTCCTCCATGGTAGAGGTGGTCAATCCTGGTCCTCGAGATGTGTCCCTTGTCCAAAACACTTGAATCCAGCAGCTGAATCTCCTCCTAAGTGCAGTCAAGTTCTCCAGTCCTGCTAATGACCTCATCATGTGACTCAGGTGTGTTAGAGGTACATCTAAAAGTTGCAGGAGACCGGCCTCCGAGGCCTGGAGTTGCCCAGCCCTGCTCCAGGGGTTTAAAGGAAATGAACCCCTGTGATGTGGAGTAATGCCTATAGATGGAACAGAAACGGTAAATGTGAAAATCTAAATGTTAGCTGAGATCAGAGACTGATATGAAAATTAAAAGTGCATGCCACACCAACAAGATTGAAATATTTTGTTTTTCAGAAATGAATGAGCTTCTTCAGCAATTTCTTGCTTATTAATATTTCCTTTTTTGTATCTGTGCTGCTCATTTTACTTGTGCACCTTTTGGAGTTACGTATTTTTCTCTAAGACTGAGCTAATTTGAAGTCTGAGTGGAAACGTTCAGGTTTCTCAAGTTTCCTATTTGAGCAGCACTGACAAACTTTAACCTTTTGAACAGCTCATTCCTGCTTGACTTGTTTTTTTCTTTCCAGTAAACAGAGAACAAAACCCAGGAAGTGCTCAATGATCCAGAGCTGTTCAGACTTAATGTTTAGAAACAACTGCAGAACATTCAGTTTATGTTCAGCTGATGGCAGGAAAATAGCTTGGTAGATATATATGCCAAAATTTCTGAGAAATTAGCAATTTCATTCTTCAGTCAAGATCCTAAGATAATGGTTTTATATACATATACTCATACATACTTTATAGTGCATTATTTATACATTTTGACTAAAATCTGTTTTTACAATATAACCAATATGGTAAACCTGCTTCATTTTGTTTCAGCACTTCCAGCTCCATAACACTCACAAATGACACACAGCCTGGATTCAACTCTAAAGATGACCTACAAATTTATACCGACAGACAGTGACAGCTGTGTTTTGTCTTCTTGAACGGTGCCTACCTTTTCATAGGACACCATTATGTGCAGGTTATTTATGAGACCTAAATTATATAAAATTAATATTGAAAAGCTAAAAGACTAAAAATGTTAACTTTTTGATTTGTTTTCTTTGCTAAAGCATTAATTGGAAGGTAATTCAAAAAACAGCTGCATAATCTCTACTTGTTGCCTCATGGCTTAGATCACAAAGGTCTCAGCCATAAACCAAACCTCTCACACTCATTTAAAAACATTTAGTTTTATTGAATGAGCATTCAGTTTTAATGAAAGTACAGTATAGCAATTTCTGATGGTGATTTGTCAACATGGACAGTTTCAGTATAGTACAGTTATCTGAGGACTTGATAAAGGTGAGGCTCTTCTTTAGCTGTCTTATTGAATGGAGCACAGTTACTTGCTACCATTTTCTTAAGAGTTGGGCAAACCAGGTTTTGCTAATAATTCCTTATTGATCTATCTCAAACTCAAACAAAAAAGGGATTCTTTAGTGTGGAGATCATAGAGCCTCTCAGAACGTCTTGTTTGTTAGGTTTCTATTCAGCATATTTTAGCAGAGATTGGTAGATGTTTGACTCCAGGAAACGTGGGTAACAATCTGTGTCCAGCAAAGAGTAGATGCGTTTCTGTGCTGGGAGCAGAGAGCTGCAAGAAGGAGCCTGCAGCAGCTGGAGAGTCAAATCTCGAGTTTTATTATCCAGGTTTACCTGCAAGAGAACAAACACAGAAATGTATGATTCTTGCTAATAAATTCCTTAATGGTTGTAGAAGAACAACTGAGCACATAGAAATAAAAAGAAAACATGTTAATATATTTTCTTTATGGCTACTCTATGGCCATAAAGAAGCTTTACATTGTCTAAACAGCTGAAGCTTCGTGTGAAGGCAGTGTGAAGGCAGTGTGAAGGCAGTGTGGTACCTCTCGGGGGGAACCAGGTTGGATATAGGTGGCACAGATGTGTTTAGCTCTTCTCTGCAGACTGAAGTTGTTGGATGAGTGTCTGTACTGTTCACATGCCAGGTAGAACTGAAGATTCTCCTCGCTGAATTCAGAACGCAGGAATGCTCCAAAGACTGAAACACCACCTAGCAGTGGCAGAAGAAACATAAGTGGGTTTCAGCTCATGTAAGGACTAATGTCTCAGCCAGATCTAGAGAAACTCATTCATGCGTTTATCTTTAGTCTCATTGATTATTGTAACAGTGTCTTCACAGGCCTGTCCCACAAATCAATCAAAACTGATCCAGAAGCTGCTGCTCCTGTTCTCACTAAAACCAGGAAGATAGAGTCATAACAGCAGTTTTAAAGTCCCTCCACTGGCTCCCTGTAGCTCAAAGAATAGATTTTAAAATACTGTTGTTAGTTTATAAATCACTGAACGGTTTAGCACCACAATACATTAAAGATCTGCTGTTGATGTATCAACCTTCCAGACTCTCAGGTTCTGGTTCTGGTTCTGCTCTGCATCCCCAGAACCAGAACCAAGAGAGGAGAAGCAGCTTTCAGCATCTATGCACCAAAAATTTGGAACAAACTTCCAGAAAACTGTAAAAAAGCTGAAACCCTGACTTCCTTTAAATCTCGACTAAAAACCAGCTGTTTAGAGTTTGATTTGAAACGTAATCAATTAAAAATATAATGATGGAACAATGTGTTGTTGATTCCATGATGCATGACTTTGTGTTTTTGTGTTTATGATGTAAAGCATTTTGAAATGCCTTGCTGCTGAAATGTGCTATACAAATAAAATTTGATTGATTGATTGATTGATTGATTGATTACCTCCAGTAGAAAAGTATACTAGAGACAATCCAAGTCAACTGGAGAAAACCCAGACTGTCTGTGAAGACAGATTTTAATTGAGTGAAATAATGCAGGAAGATGAAAGGTAGACTACAACTATGCTGACTTGGTGTTTGTCTTATAAAATGTAGAAAAAGACAACCAAAAAAAGAATGAAATGTTTGTGACTGTAATGTAACAAAATGTGAAAAGGGGACAGGGTGTATACTGGCCAAAGTGGCTGAAGTTTTTAGTATAGTAACTTATTTACATACTTGTGATAGAACAAAATGATTTTTTTTATATATGTCAAGGTTGATTCAACCTAAAATTGAACTGCAACTCAAAGCATTAACTCAGTCAAATCTGCTCTGATTCACTGACCTGCTTTCTTCTAAGCACAACAGATATTGCTTTAATGGATTTTTTTCCACACATATGGGTAATACTAAAACATGAAAATCAAGTTATAGAATATTCCTTTCCATATAAAAGAAAACTATAAATGACAGCAAAGTAAAATCAAGATGTTTTCCCCTTAAATCACAATGATCAGAAGGTTTTCCACAGAGGTCAGACAGAAGGTCCAGGTGAATAAAATGCTAAAAATTATTTTTTAAGCTGGTCTATTTTGACTATTTTGTCACAAATGTCAATTTAAAAATTCAAATATATACACACATTTAAGAAGCCTCATTTAAAACATATTTATTCTTAACTTATTGGTGCAAAAAACTGAAGAAAATTGATTTATTCACTGCATGTTTATGTCTGTTTGTGTAAGGTTGAGATGGAACTGCAAATGAAAACAGCCATTTAAACTATTCAGACTTCCAACACAAAAAAGACACAATCAAAACTGTCAGCTAGAACTGACTAAGGTAAGGCAAAAGGGAAAAAAATCATCCATGTCTCCCAGGGGTTCCATAAACTCCAACAATTACCTTTAAACTCGCCTGTGTATTATCTTTGTCATGATAAACAACATGTTTGTGTTGTTTATCATGACAACAGAAAAAGGTATACTGAATTCTGAAAAAAATCATCAGAGTTCAGTATATGCCTAATTAATCCACAACTCGTTAGACAGAATCCACCTTTTAGCAAAAACTGTCAGAGATTAAAAGAAACACAATATTAGTGAACATTAAGCCAGATGCTGTAAGAGACCAGGGCTGGGCTGATGACCCCTCTCTGAAGTTGACCCTAGTCAAGCTACGAAGAAAATTTTCAGTCACCTGTTCCTGACATCTGGCTCTTATGGTGATGAACACAAAGTGGTCAGATCAGCAATCAGAAGCTTTCCTTTATCTCTTCCCTCACTAAGCTCATTCCACATAAGGAAAGTGGTTGTGTGATACCAGTTCTTTGTTTTCTACAGGACAGTCTGGTTGGTTATTCTAAACCCTGTGGCAGTTTGAACTGGCAGGTATCCTCACCAATGTGTGCTGTTACTGTGTGACATTGGTGTGTCCACCATCTGTGTAGTTTACAAAACACAAGCAATTGTAAATTTTGCTCACACTTCTGACCCATCCCCTCCAGTAACTCTGCAGTGCTGCCCCCTCTCTGGCACAAACTGACCCAGGTAAACATTCAGTGGCAGCTTGATCCATCAAGAGTGAAGCAGCCAAATCACCAGTGGTCCCTGTGCATCTCTGCACCAGCAGAAAAGGAAATAGCAGCTTAAAACCGATGAATGTTAACAAAGAGGTGGACACAGCCTGAAGATGAGTAGTCAGAGCTAGAAGCAACTTTGGAGAGGGATGCATTAATTCATATGAGTGCTGGATCACCTGCTACTGATAAGCCCTAATTAAGACAATGAAAACACTGTAATAGCTTGTATTTTTCTGATATTTATTAGAAAGAATCCAATGGTATCAGTTATTGAGTTTTCTAGATTATTCTGTATCAATTTGGAAATTTTATGGACATTAAAACCTCAGTTTAGTGATCCCAAAAGTTCTAAATTTTAGGAAATTTCCTAAATTTAGGAAATACGCAAGCTTCAAGCATGCATATTCATCCTTGTAGCTTCAGGCTGCACATCATATTCGATGGTCGCTTTGTCTGAAATTGAATCTGTTGTGCTGAACAGAGCATCTGAGTCCTAGACTAGAACCACACAGCTCCTCTGATTCCTGTGTAAAACAGCTGGCTGTGGCCAGCTTTGTCTGGTTTGGCCTTTTCCTGCAGCGTGTGTTCTTGTTTATCATGCAGCTCTTAACTTAAGGGAAGCTTGAGCAGATAACAGCAACAACAAAAGATTTCACAGGTTTTCAGAATTAAACTAGTTTTGCAAGTCTGCCTAAATCCTCGTCACCTGCTAGAGTCAGTACTGTGTTTGGAACTTACTTTGACTGGACAGCAGAGTGTTCAAAGACTCGGCCCAACTTTTCAGCATGTTGTGACTGATCCGCCCCTTGCTGTGGTGGCCCACCTGACTCCACTGGCGCATGAAATGCATACGAGACCTCCTCTCTGACGCACTGTGATCGGGGGTAAGCAAGGGATTCATACAGGCAAGCATAGATCAAGCAAAAGACAAATAGCAATACAAGAAATTGTTTCACAATGAAAGTGACATTCATATTACAGATGTTAATTATCTGCAGGCGAGAAGAAAAATTATGTGAGATTCTCACCTGTTTTTCTCTTCTGCATTATACAAGTTTGAGTTTGATGAATGTGGACTCTGAAACAAAACCCAAACAATTATTTGAAAATCTTTTGTCACTTCCAAAAGAAACTTTTACAAAGTTTCACAGTGAATTTGTTTGTGTAGTTTTTACATACAGAACAAAAATAGACAATAATATTTGAATAGCCTTTGCTGTTCTACAAAAGGGAAATACAACTGATATAAAGGTTCACATAAAAATGTTCTTAAAGTATCTAAAATATAACTCAATAATAGTAATAATAATATATTGTGCAAGACAACAAAAATAATTATGTGCAGTTATTAGAAATAAAAACATCTAACTTGCAACTGAGTCGCATCACTTTTCCAATAATGTACTTAATGTGTGTTTAACATTGAAAAAGAAACTATTTACAACACAGTTTTCACAAAAACAGATGTGTAAAAACAGCAGAGTAGGAACAGAGTAGATGATTGTGCAAATGGCAGAATGTATGCAGACACATTTCCTCACTTCAGCGCTTTAAACTAGTCCGCTGATCAAGATGAATTCAGCTCATGACTCAGTCAGTATGCAGATTTGTCCATCTGCACTTATTGTACAGCTGACATACTGACTGATCCAAGAGGGAATATTTTAAATTGTGTAGCAAATATGGGTATTTAGAGACTCAATATATCATTTTAATGTAACACTTTTAAGGGAATGTGAAAGTCCAGATGGTCACTGGTAACATTTGTGCAAAGATTTATGTAGGCCCGTCACAATAACAACTTTTGCTAGATGATAAATTATCCCAGAAGTTATTGCCATAAACAATAATATTGTTTTGAGACCATTTTCAAGCAATATAATGCTTTTGCGTTATATTTTAATGCCATTACAGCAATGGCATAATAATGCAAGAAGACTTTCTCAAAGATGGATAAACTTTAAATTCTAATGAACATTTAACAGTGGAACTGGAAGACAATAAAATACACAAAATAAACCAAACAACAGAAATAAATGAATTATGGACTCAAGACTGTCCTTCAGAAAAGGCCTAGCTGAGGCCAAAGCACAAGATTGAAGACTTTTGTCATCCAGTTTTTGGCAGAAAGAGAAAAAAGGAGAAAAATAATAAGTCAAGCAAATGGAAATTAAGCTCGTTTAATTTATCATCTGATTCATTGATTTATTTATTATGATGGGCCTGTACAAAAGCCTATCACAATAAATAAATAAATTAACTCTTCAAAAGCAATAAACCACTTCATGTTCCCATCAGGAGACCCTCAGTCTCTGCCTGCCAACCAGCCCACAAAGAGCACAACGAGGTCACAGTCGGGTCATTAACTGGCCAATGATCTGAAATATGTCAGCAAATCTAGAACTGAATGTCTACAAAAGAAAATAATCAGAATGTTACCACATCCCAGTGAAAGTCCAGACCTTAACCAGGCTGAAATACTGCAGTTGGACTTTCAAAGAACTGAAACACAAATCCCTTCACAACACAATGAGATTAATAGATCAGATAGGAAACCATTAAAAATAATTCATCACTAATGAACAACTGAGTCTGCTTAGTTATCATAGAGTAATTATAGTGTTGCTCTACTGAACAGAAAGCTCATAAAATGGTTTTTATTTCATTGAGTCCAACACACTGACCTAATCTGTATGGCTTTGCTGTTGCAGTTTTGTCCAACAGTTTTCATTCGTTTCTAGTTAAAAGGCTTATAGAATAATTTTTTTAGTTTTATTATGAAAATTTTATCTGAATTTTTCACATTCCTCTCTGCATTTACATCTTAATGCTGAAAGTCATTTACTTAGCCATCTCTCATGAGGTTTGTGGTTTTCTTTAGTGAGCCTTTCTTTTAGAGGAAACATCTGCAATAGTTTTTCCTCTCCATTGTTCTGTGTGCCTGGTTGAAACTACAATTTTGATTACTACCTGTTTGGTAAATGGCCTGCACATGTGCTACATGTATAGCACTTTAACTAGTCCGAAGGGTTAATGGACTCAACTTAGTGCTTTTCCAGTCAGTCTGACCACTCAAGGTGCTTTACACTCGAGCTACCCATTCGCATTCACAAACACACACACATTTACACACCGATATGATCGCTAAGCAATTTGGAGTTATTTGCCTTGACATGTGACAGAAGGAACCTCTGACCTTCTGATTAGAACGGTGCCCACTGAGCTACAGTGGCCCCTATGAAGTCACAGCACATCCATCATTCACACGCTGATACATCAACATTCATATCAGCATAAAGCCTTTTATAGCCAAAGTTAGAAGCTAGTTTTTAAAACTGAGTTCCAGTAAAACCTAAACATAAAACTAGAAGGCAGTGCCACTAGTTTGTATCAGAATTAAATGCTAGCTCTTACTAGGCCTGGCACAATAAATAATCAATAAATTAATCCCATAATAAATGAAAACAATCATTTCTACTTCCATGATTTAATGTTACTCTTTCCCCTCTCTCTTTCTTTTAACTAGATGATACAAGTCTTCATTCTGGTCCTTTTGTCTGAACTTGGGCCTTTGTCTTGAAGAACAACTTTGTTTATAGACACTTCATAATTCATTTTATTTGTTGTTTTGTTTATTTATTTTTTTATATTTAAATGTCTTCCACTTCCAGTGTTAAATGTTCATTAGAATTGTAATCATTGCTCTTTGAGAATGTGTTCTTGCATTATAATGCCATTACCATTGGGTCACTTCAACAATATTGATTATTCTTTATCACAATAACTTCTGGGACAGATTGTCGTCCATCACGACAGGCCTAGCTCTTACACAGTGATAGGAGATGTTAGTGAGTGGAAATGTAGTAACCGTCCTACCTTATCAAAGAGACTCTTGAGGTGTAGCTTAGCAGCTGACAGTCTGGCCCTGTGATGGTGTTTTTCCTGGGACTTTGAGGAGAATTGGTTGGAGAAGACTGACAGAGACGATTCATGTTGGCCTTCTCTTTCCCCACCGTCCATGACGTCCTCAGCCATTGGAGCCAGCTGACTGTCACTGTAAGCCCTGCAGCTTTCATTGATCGCACACACTTTGAGGTGGTCCATCTCTTGCTTCCCGAACTCACGCAGGTTCTCCACACTGACGCTCTGCTCTCTGATCAGATCCTTCCTCCTAACCTCGCTGGGTGTCTGCATCGGCTCCTGAATGCTGGGAATCAAGCCAGCTGACCCTACGTCGTGTTCATCATTTTTCAAATGAGGTCTGCCTGTGACTGACATCCTCTTGCTTCCATATTCGGGCTTCTTCTGTGACTGTTGGAAGGTATCAAGATCCAGAAGGGATCCTTCAGAGTTGAATCTGCGCATGTTTCTCTTTATGACTGAAAACCTAAAACTGTCAGGCAGAAGTGCTGCAAAAAAAAGCAAAAGACATTATTGAAAACCATGAAACATAAGGTGAGACACCTTATGATATTGCTGAAAAGTTGACAAAACATATCATTTGTTCATTTAAATTGGTTCTTAAGCCCAAACCCTAACCCTTTCATCATGGTCATGAATATACAGCATAATATAGTCACAGTGAAAAACAAATGACTGAGCTTTAAGGGGTGAAAAATCAATAGTGCAAAGATAATTTTCATAAATCCTTTAGAACTACGAGTATATAAAAATAAAATATTGTCAAAGAAATCAATATTTTTAGCACCACATTTTGAAAAGTGAAATTCATAATCACACAGATTCACTCTACGTACAAGAAAATATTTCATGCTTTTAAATTAGGCAAATTTTGATTATCCCTTAAAGATAATAAAGTTCCAAAATTCTGTATCTTAGAGAAATACAAAATTGTGAAAAACATAGGGCACCCTCTAACATTCAGAGTATTTCTGCACACTGTTTCTCTGTGGTACTTCTTGAAATACTGCTGAAAGAAATGATCATGTTATACTAAATATTAACTTAGTTGCTTTTTTAGTTACTTAGTTACTCCCTGGTCTGGGAGGCAGACACTGTTTACTTTATAGATGAGACTTAAAATTTGGAGTCTTCCTCTTTTAGAGGAAGACTCCAATAAAGTTTAACACTGAAAATTAACTTCATGACTTAACCCAGGAATCTGTCTGTCATCTCTCCTGACTTTATCAAACCTTAAACCCAGTCTTACTGTGAAAGGCTTTTTCAGTCATCAGCACTCGAGTTGCAACCAACTAAACTTCTTTCTTCATATAATTTATCAATGATGCACTGACAGCAACACTGACAGCAACACTGACAGCAACACTGAGAGCAACACTGAGAGCAACACTGAGAGCAACACTGAGAGCAACACTGAGAGCAACACTGAGAGCAACACTGAGAGCAACACTGAGAGCAACACTGAGAGCAACACTGAGAGCAACACTGAGAGCAACACTGAGAGCAACACTGCAGCAACACTGACAGCAACTGAGAGCAACACTGAGAGCAACACTGACAGCAACACTGAGAGCAACACTGACAGCAACACTGACAGCAACACTGAGAGCAACACTGAGAGCAACACTGACAGCAACACTGAGAGCAACACTGAGAGCAACACTGACAGCAACACTGACAGCAACACTGAGAGCAACACTGACAGCAACACTGACAGCAACACTGACAGCAACACTGACAGCAAACTGAGAGCAACACTGACAGCAACACTGACAGCAACACTGAGAGCAACACTGACAGCAACACTGAGAGCAACACTGACAGCAACACTGACAGCAACACTGAGAGCAACACTGACAGCAACACTGACAGCAACACTGAGAGCAACACTGACAGCAACACTGACAGCAACACTGAGAGCAACACTGAGAGCAACACTGACAGCAACACTGACAGCAACACTGAGAGCAACACTGACAGCAACACTGACAGCAACACTGAGAGCAACACTGACAGCAAACACTGAGAGCAACACTGAGAGCAACACTGACAGCAACACTGAGAGCAACACTGAGATCAACACTGAGAGCAACACTGACAGCAACTGAGAGCAACACTGAGAGCAACACTGAGAGCAACTGACAGCAACACTGAGAGCAACACTGACAGCAACACTGACAGCAACACTGAGAGCAACACTGACAGCAACACTGAGAGCAACACTGACAGCAACACTGACAGCAACACTGAGAGCAACACTGACAGCAACACTGACAGCAACACTGAGAGCAACACTGAGAGCAACACTGACAGCAACACTGAGAGCAACACTGACAGCAACACTGACAGCAACACTGACAGTCTGATCTTTTCCAAGCCACTTTCTGAAACAAAGATTGAATTTAATTAGAGTCTCTGGAAAAAAACAGCACTTGGGACTGGAACCGTATCTTCCTCTTTTGGGTTCACGCATCACAATCATTGACGAACCGCAGAGTTGATTTACCTTCTTGTGTAGCAGATTAGTAAACTTTCTTTACGGCGAGTAGGTTACAGGACGTGGTTTGAAAATCTCCAAGAAGTAATGAAGCCCTGCTGCTGCCTCCTCTTCCTTCAGAAAGCTTTTCCTCTCCTCACCGACTGCAGGACAGCAGGTTCTCCAAATGTTCCTTGTGACACTAAATGCTCCTCCTCCTGCTGCCGCCACACCTTCACCTCTGTCTCAACTTGTCCCCATTCACACTCCACTAAAATGTACTGTTAGATCAAGTGTATGCAAGTATTAGTAACTGGCCATGCTGACAGAAACGCACTCAGAAACAATTTAGACTTCTGCTGACGTCATCTGGGCAGAGAGGAAAGTGGTTTGACGTTTAAGAGGGGGTCACTCTGTCTTCAACACGTGGGGGCGCTGTTACATCAGCTGTTTGAACACCTTTACATTCAGAGGCCCCTCAGATTGGAGATAATGAATACCTGCGATGAACAAATCGAAATAACTGTGACTTGTTTTTTCATAGAGACTCTGTGGGTTCTAACAAGCCCCATAACTAACGGAGGTTTAATAATACGTGTTAAAATAATTAATCAGTTACTTGTTGACTGCAGAAACGGTACTACTCCTTGAAGTCCATGTAAGATATTATTCTGGTCTTTGTAAAATGTTTTTGTGTTAACTTGTCAGATGCACTTAAGTACATTTCATTTTCTCTTTATGCAGCATGTTTACTGTACTGTTCTGTTTCGCTTGGCCGATGTCACTGTTATCTCAAGAAGTTTTGAATAAAGTTTATTAGAAAAAAATACTCTCGAAGGTGAAGGCCCGCTATGGCAAGCCTTTTTAACATAAATTCGGTTTTACGTTCCAGATATCTCAAATTGTTTATGACTAGACGTTTTAGCAATTTAAGATATCTCTAATTACATTCTGACTAGTCGAAATGACGTCAGATTTACCATTGATTTGTATGGAGACTTCAATTCAATTTTTTAGCAGTCTTATAGTTCATAAAGTTTTGCGTTCTCAACATTGCCGAGGTCTTTCTAATTTGTGGCATTTATGGACAATTTTGTGCAGGAAACATAAAATTCTGCAGGCAACTGTTTGGACAGCACAAAGGGGCTTCCATGTCATTCTTAATTCAGATATCTAAAATTGTCATTTTGAACCTATCTAACCAAAATGGAGTCGCTGTCCCCGTGCATATACCCAGCTTATTCTATGGCCATACCTAACAAATAAAGCTATAAATCAGTTGAACTTTAATTTCATCTGAAAAAATCAAGTCCACTACTTAAAGAAAGCAAATATGGTTAAAGATTTTAAAGATGGTGGTTTACAAGCTATTGACTTTGAATGTTTAAACGCTGTCTTAAAAGTAAATTGGTTGAAATCTTTTTTAATGAATGGAAATAGGATATGGTTTTGTCTCCCCAGAGGTTTGTTTAAAAAAATTGAATGCATGGATTTTGTTCTTAGATGTGACTTTGATGTCAACAGACTTGCTGTTAAGTTATCTGCTTTTCACAAGCAGGTTTTGAATATGAACAGCTTTACTCCTCACCAAACTCCCATCTGGAACAATAGATATGTGTCACACAGAAATAAGTCTCTGTATTTAGATCGTATTTGGTCCATAAGACATTTTCTTAATGACAGTGGAGATTGGTTGTCTTATGACGAATTTTGCTTATTGTATAACTTGGTTTGCTCATGCACTCAGTTTCATATGGTATTAAACTCCTTCCCCTCTGCAGTCAGATATAAACATTAATCAGCTGACCTTCAGTTTCCAGCTCTTCAACTGTTTGGATTTAACCTCTTGGACAAAAGTCATTCTAACAAACGGATGCGTCAGCATCTAACTAATATTATATTTCCTGTCCGACCAAATAAAAACTCCATTTTAAATTTATCTTCTGATTTTGAGGTTAATATGTGGAGAACTGCTTACCTTAAATATCCTCTGAGCCCTAAAGCTAAAGAAGTTCATTTTTAAATTCTCAATAACATTTTTCCATCCAGGGAACTTTTAAGACCAAGATTCAACTTCGACATTAACATTTGTACCTTTTGTAACACTGACATTGAAACAACAGATCATCTTTTTCTATTGTGTGCAAACTGAATCATTTTGGAGAAACTTTCAGGACTGGATCTCAACAAAACTTTTCCTTCATCATCCCTTAAAAACAGAGGAGGTAATATTTGGAACCACCCACAAAGACACAAAAACCGACCTGGTTCTGAACAATCTGCTGATCCTCGCCAAATTCTTCATCCACTCTGTAAATGGGGAAATAAAAAACTGGACTTTCCAGCCTTTAAAAACCTTCTGATGGAGAACCACTTCAGAACCACAAAATTGATCAAAAACAAGCAGGGAATTAAACTTTTGGACGCTCATAACTACCTGACTTTATTTGAGTCCGTCTTTTTCTGTTTTTTGTTTTTGTTCTGTAATCCCTGTTTGATGTCTGACAAATTTTATCTAACTTTTTCTTTTCTTTATTTTATTATCTTTTAGTTATATGTGTGCCTTAAGCCGGTAAAATTTGACTTCTCCATGTATGTGTATGCCACGTGATTTTGTATGATTGTTAATTAATAAAAAAAATTTAAAAATATTTTAATTTTGACTGATAATTCAAGATACCTTCAATCGTAATTCCGGATACGTGTCTCGTCAAATTACAGATCCAGTGACGTAATTTGAGATATCTTGAAAGGAATTTTGACTAGTCAAAATGTAATTGAAGATATCTTGAATTATTATTCTTACTAGTCAGAATGTAAATGCAGATATCTTAAATTACCATTCCGGATAGTCAAAATGTAGTTTTGTCGAGTCAAAATGCATTTTCAGATATGTAATTACGGATAGTCGGACGAAACCGAATTTATGTTAAAACGGCTTGCCATACATGGTCCCACTCACCGCTATGTTTCACAGTAAGTTCCTTTGACACAACTTGGCCCGTGGGGGCGCTAGTCCACTTGCATCCATCTGTGGACTGAAGGATTTGGCTGAAGAAGTAAACAGCTTGTAACGTTCATTGGCCAGGATCGACATGTGCGTCATAAATAACCAGACTGAGGGTTTGGCTCTCTCATCCCAATGTTATCTGACTTTGCGATAAATAGTGATAGTCATTTTCTGAGATTTTAAATTTTATATGAAAAGCTTAGATGTAGCCTTGAAAACTAAAAACTCACCTGGATTCTTATCTTCATAAACCACTGATCTTGTTCAGAGATATGGTAGAGTAAGTTAATTCTTTCTTTAGATTTTATTGATAACCGTCTTTATTTTATTGTGCCTGAATACACACATGTTGAAAGAGGAACTTGTATTATAGAATCAGGATTTTTTTTAAAAAGTTACATTTAATTATTGCCCATAGACAAAACAGGTCTTCCAGATTTACCTTGTTTGATTTTTGTAGTGTTTTGGGACACAACTCGCATGTCAAAGTCTGTGGGCTCTCTCAATTGTCCTCAACATTGTAAACATTAGCATGTTTTTATTTTTACAATATTTTTTATCTTTACCAATTTAAAAAAAAGTGCAGTACAGTGTACTGATCATACTCCATCCTTGGGAGTTTTATGCAGAACACCAAAGATGAGTTGTGTGTAGTTTTCCAGTAAGAAACAAAACAAAACAAGCCACCAAGGTAATAAGCCATTGCCAATACACACCAAGAAGCACATTAATGCCAAAGAGCAGCAAAGGCTGCCTTCAGTCCTCAAGTCCTGCACAAAATTGGACTGAAAGGAGGACCAGGCCAAAATTCACCTGACCAACAACATTGAAACACTTAAGGGTGAATCTCATTTAATCTCTTCCATCCCCTCAATCGCTCCAAACCCCATGTTTCTACTGGTGTCCCAGATGCTATGGAGGAGTAGTGGGAATGGTTAGAGCCCTGGAAAAGGTGGGCTTCTCAGATGAAAAACAAGAGCTGTGTTCACAAAATGCCAGTACTTTCTCAGATAAAATGTTTAAAATGTTACAATAACCACTGTCACAAATAAGATGTTCCAGATGATATTATGGCCTATCTTAAATATTGTTAGTCCAATAACAAAGATCAAAAAATCTTTTCATTGTAAATATTGTACCATTCCAACACATGTGGAATGGTACAATAATAGTCTTTCTAATGGCCATTATTTTTCTTCTCAAACAGCAAATAGATATTGCTGGAAGAACAAAAACGGGACATAGACCTGTCCTACTTACAATTTGATGTACCTCGATGAAGCACTACAACAGTAAAACATTGTACCAACAAGTATACAAAATTTTGACATACTCTTGAAATTTCATTTCGTAAATATCTTAAACATTTCTGTTTCATTTAATATTTCCCCATTACAAGAATTTTGCTATCAAAGTATTGACAGAAATTCAACATCACCTTTGATTTTTCTTTGATATGCACTGTATATGTCCTCCCAAGTACATCCAAGACAGGAATCATGTTAATCAAACAAGTTTATTCTTCCAGTCAGGAATCACACTAGAGTTTACTCTAGAACATGCAGAGTTCATTTGGATCTGGAAATTTGTTTAATACAGCAAGTCATTGGTGAACCACAGCTATCAAAACTAAAACTTATAGATTTTAGTTTTTATTTTGTAAAAGTAAAATCTATTGGTTTTGTAAAGCATGAATCAGAATGAATGATGAGGGCTTGAAATTCCAGCAGTTACAAAAACCAGTAATAAATAGCTCAACTCCTTCTGTGTTTGTCTAAAGACTGTCAAGTAAGTTCTTTTTAAGTAATGTTAAGAACCAACAGGAAGCTTCAAAGAGTTGAACGTTTAGAGTGCATTTATTTATTTGTGTACTTTTAATGTAGGTAAAAGGAAGTGAAGAATACATCTTTTAACCTACAAACTGGTTTTACAGTTGAAGCACAAATAAATTTGTATTGTAAAGATATGTACATTGCTAAATGTATTTATTAAGATATCACTTTTATAGACGCAGCAGTAAAGGCTTGGAAACTGGGTAGTCTTGGCCACAGCGCTGATCCATATCAAAATTTTATTTCCACATAACTTTGATCCATATTTGGACTGCTGTTGTACCAGCTTGTAGGCTGAATGCGGTGAAGATGTCAATTGTTAAATAATTAGCTAAAAATACTGTACACAAAATATGTGTTTTCTGACGGCTAGTTACAAACTAGCCACTAAGTTGCTATGCTCACTGAAACAATCCAGACAAAATGTGTGAGGACAGGTCCAACTCCATGGACTGCAGGCAGATTAGGAAATATGAAATGATTTAGCAAAAAATAAAACAATGCTGTCCAAACGTGACTTCTTCTCAGGC